GAAATGTACAGACTGTCTGGACCAAGACACCAGCCCTGATACTGAGTCCACAAGAGATTCAATCACCTAGAGAAGATCCCCTTTGACTATCACCAGAAAAAGTGTCAGAATGACAACTGAAACCGTCTACACCCACAAAACTTGAGGTCCACATTGGCATGACTTTACTATTCCAGTGTCCTCATCAACATAACTTTATTCCCAGAAACAATGGCGGAGAAGGATAAAAACTGCAAGTAACTTTATTGTTCATTCCAGAAACTTCCTGAAAAATCCATCATCTTTTAATAAAAAGCATCAAGTGACGGTTTACACACCAAGACTCTTTGAATTTTTGCTTCAAAATCTTTACCTTGCTGTGCCCACCGATCCCATATCATGATCCTTACACAAACCTACCCACGCCCCTGCATTGAAGGACCTGCTTTAACCAGACTTTAAAAACTCTTAAATATCCCAATTTTGCCCCTCACTGAGTTGCTACTAAGTCTCCGTCAAGGTAGTGTTCTCTATGACTGCAGTAAGAATAAACTCAGCTTTGTCTCATCAACATATTGTCCCAGTGATATTTTAGGGAGCCAGTATTCTGTAGGAGTCAGAAAATAATTATGGGTAACTAGAGGGTATCAGATGTCTTGCAGGAGGGAGCTAGAGATGTGAACCTTCAGAAGGATGGGCAGGAAGAGTCAGCACCAAAATTGTGGAAGTGCAAGACGAGCCTCACTGAAGACAAGAATCTTCATGGGGGTGAGCCCTCTGAGGAGGGCCACAGGAGAAACAGTGCCAAGAGACAGGAAGAAGTGGCTCTGCCCTGGTGTATCCACAAAGGGCATGCAGGCAAAGGCCCAAGCTAATCTGAGTCTTGTCCAAATGCCTTGTGATCCACCTGCAACACAAGAAGATGGAGGCCTGCAAAGAGCTTCTCCAAGACCATCTTCCTTTCACCTCCTGATCTCACCTGGGAAGTTGTCGTGAAGCAGTTTCTCATCACCTCCAGTGTTCTGATGAGACACGGGTCTTCCTGCTTCACCCTCTCTTAATAGAATGGCAGAATATAAAACCACCGAGTTGTATTACCCAACTTGCATTGCAATCTGCAAGTTGATATGGTTTCAGTGTCATTCTTTTTGATGAGCAGAACAATGACCTCAAGGAGTTGGCACATTTGGCTAGTCTTCCTTTCGTCATCTATATGACTAACAAATTGTCTGATTCTTAAAAAGTGTCCTTGTATCTTCACCAGTTGAATCAGTCAGGACTTTATCTTGGCCATGCCTTGTCTCATGTGTGCTTGACAGAAGCTAAGTGGAGCTGTGGGACCAACATGGTAGTCCTAGGCCCAGTCTCCCCTCAACCTCATCCCCACTCCACAGATAAAAGGCAGAAGAGTGGGAGGGAGGTTTACAGGGAGATTAACAATAGTAACAATTATATTGAGAGGAGAGTGTTGTTTAGTCTTACTCTTTTGGTTCCTCCCAATTCTCAGCCTCTCAATCCACTCCTTCTGACCCACATTGGAAGTTACCTCACTGGTAAGGGATTAACATGGGGCTACCTTTCTTGATTACATGGAGTTAAACCATTTAAAGTCCGTCCTTCTCTGAATTCAGTGCAAAGCAGCAATGATGCATAGCATGCCTGTGCTTTCACCCTAAGCCACGTTCTCCATAGTCCAGCGAGACTCTGAATTCCAGCCTCCTGACCCCTCTAACTATTTTCTTGGTTGTTTCCAAGATCAGAAAAGGAATACGGGTATAAATTATTGTGCCCTCTTAAACCCAAATAAATTTGATTAAAAGAGAAAAAATTTAAATTTATAAAGGAATATTAAAAGATTTTAACAACAAGAAAAAAATCCTGAAGCAAAATAATGAGCCAACACAAAATGAGTCATAGACTCCAAAGCCAAACAAAAGAAAAATATTGAAACATAAGATGATATAGTAACATGAAGTAAACAATACAAATGGAGGAAGAAAAAGAAAAGTCAGGAGGTTAAGGATTTAATGGGAGTTGGGAAAATTAAATAATAATACAAAAAAAATCAAAACACACAGACAAGCCAAAAACGTTAAACAATTCTGATGTACAGGGGTGAAAACTTTAAGGCAAACAAATAAAAAATGAAAAAAAAAAATAGAAACAAAGTAACTAGAAACAAACAGTGAACTGAGTCCTTATCAGAATCCTAAGATGGCTCAGACGTCCCCAACCCCCAATCCTCATGGCTTTTAGCTCTCCTGGAGGCTGGAGGCCATGTTTTCAGTCGGCACCTAACATGAGGATCTCAGGCTTTTGAATCAATGTAACAGAAACCTGCAGTCTCCTTGGCCTTTTGCAAACTCTGGAGGAAAAATCCTCTCGATTGCTTTGTGTTGTTCTCTGGTTTTACTTTATATACGTCTGGATGGGAAGAATACAGACCATGCCTCCCATGTCTTAATCTGTTTGGGGTGGTACAACAAAATACCATAAACTAAGTGGCTTAGAAACAAGAGAAATGTGTTACTCACAGTTCTGGAGGCTGGAAGTCCAAGATCAAGGTGCTAGCAGATACAGAGACTGGTGAGGGCCTGCTTCCTGGTTCATAGATAGCACCTTCTAGCTGTGTCATCACATGGTGGGAAGGCAAATTAAGCTCCCTTGGGCATCTTTCATAAGGGCACTAATCTTTTATAAGGGTGGAGACCTAATGAACTAATCATCTCCCAAAAGGCCCTATGTAATACCATCACTTCGGAGCTTAGGATTTTAACATACGAATTTTGGAGTGACACAAACATTGAGACCACAGCATCTCAATTTTTCGATCTCCTCTTCTGGATACCCATTTGCTCACCCAGTAGTTCATTTGACGACTATTTATTGAATCCTTACTCTGTGCATTGTCCAATTACACTATAAGTGCTGGTGATTCAGCATCTACCTGCTGGTGGAGAAAGAAGACAAGTAATTCCATCATTACAACTGTGTTAAGTGCTATGAAGGAGAAACACAGAAGCTATGAGAATGACAAACAGGGAATGTCTTGGGAGTCATCAAAGACTTTCTAATGAAAGTGTCTGCATACTGAGGTAGAATTAACTCAGCCAAAAGGGAATAGAAGAGCATTTTAGGTAGGAAGAACAGCAGAGGTAAAGACCCTGAGGCAGAAGTGGTAAAGCAGACACCATGAACTATTCCAGGTACTAGGGCCAGAATACAGGACATTAATGCCAAAATGGAGAAGATACCAGTGAGATAAACAAGGACCAGAACCCAGGCCTCGAAGTCACTTTAAATATTTGTGTTTCTTTTCTGGGCAAGGAATATTTGACCTTTTGGACTCAGCGAATATTTGGCCCTTGTTTTGACTCTATCATTATGAATGCAGTTTAACCCAAATTATATAAAGTTTCTAATTTTCATCTAGAAAGTATTCTTAGCAGTTAAGTCCATTTCATTCATTGATAAATTACCATACAGATTTAAATTGATTTTAATTCTTCCCATTTCCTATTTGTTAAAATTAAAGATCAATTTTTTACTATAAATTTTCAACAAAAATTTGATCCATCAATGGTTTTTTCCTCAAGTTCTATTTTCCATGGTCTAGTTATACATTTTCTCAAGATTTGATTCCTCCATTTTTAATTAATAAAATTAATCAGGTGTCATTTTAGAACCTTTCAGTTTTATTTTGTGTTAGCTATTTTTATAAGCAACATTATCTCTGAGTCAGAGGAATGTGCTTTTATTTATTTCTTAGCTAATCGAGGGAAAAATCTTGGATCGTTCTGTTGTTCGGGCCTGATCATTGTAGTAGTTCTCTAACGTACTAGTCTCAGAACACCTTTAGACTCTTAAAAAAAGTATTGACTTCCCCAAAGGCCTTTGGTTTATGTGGGTTATAGGTATCAATATTTGCTGTATGAGAAATTAAAACTGATAAATTTGTAAACATTATTTAAAAAATAACAATAACCCTATCACACAATAATATGTATGATTTTATTAAAACTATCCCTATTTTCCAAGAATGAAAAAGGTGGCTGTATTAGTCCGTTCTCTAATCGCTATGCAGAACTACTTGAGAGTGGGTAATTTATAAAGAAAACAGGTTTAATTGGCTCACAGTTCCACAGGCGATACAGGAAGCATGGCTGGGGAAGCCTCGGGAAGCTTACAATCAAGGTGGAAGGTGAAGGGGAAGCCGGAAAGTCCTACAAGGCTGGAGGAGGAGGAAGAGACAGAGTAGGGAGGTGCCACACACTTTTAAACAACTAGGTCTCATGAGAACTCACTCACTATCACAAGAACAGCAAGGGGGACGTTCGCCCCCTTGATCAAATCACCTCCCACCAGGCCACACCTCCAACACTGGGGATTATAATTCCACATCATATTTGGGCAGGGACACAAATCCAAACCATATCAGTGGCATTTACATTTTTGCAAAAAAAGATTTTTTTTTGAGACAGGGCCTCACTCTGTTGCCCAGGCTGGAGTGCAGTGGCATGATCTCAGTTCACTGCAGCCTCAACCTCCCAGGCTCAAGCAGATCCTCCAACCTTAGCCTCCTGAGCAGCTGAGACTACAGGTGCATGCCACCAAGCCGAAGGGATTTATATTTATCTATAAATTTATATATAAATCAGATATATTTATATAAAATGTATACATTTTGCAATCAGTCTGACCTGGGTAGGAATTCTAGCTGTAATATTTACTAGCTCTGTGATCTTGGGAAAATTATTTACCGTTTGTGAACTTCAGTTTCCCTTCCATAAAATGGAAACAATACCATTAAAAATCAAATGGTATTGCCTCCATTTTGTAGAAGGAAAACTAAATGCTATTTTAATCGACAATTCATTAATTTTTAAGATTGACCATTAACAGAGATACTCCATGGAAAGCGGATCATACAGAACCTGGCGCATGTAAAGCAGATCACACAGAACCTGGCACACGTGAGCATTTGATGTGTGCTACGCTACCCTTGGTGACGACTTTAATTATCATGCGCATTCCCAGCGCTTCCTATGGTGTCCAACACACAGCGCACGCCCAAAGGCAATTTTGGGGGATGGGGCAGATGCTCTGCCTCGGGGAAAAAAAAAACACACACACACACCTGCCCTGATGTTGGTGGCTGGGTCTGGAAGATTACGTGGAAATTAAGCTAAGGATGTGTGCCTTCCACATCAAAAACCGCAAAAATCTAACACCGCGACTACTGAGTCCGATCAGGGAGCACAGACTGGAAGAAGCGCCCACGGCTTGGGCCGTCTGCGCGTGCGTGAGCCGGAAAACCGAGGCGCTCCCTGGGCCCGCCCTATCGATCGACCCGATCGGGGATCGTCAGCTTGGTTCTGGTCACAGAAGTTGCTCTTCTCGCGATGCTTCACCTCTGGCGGCGGGGAAAGGGCGGGCTAACTGGAGAGCGCTGAAGAACCAGACACGGCCGCACGCTGCTTTCCCAGAAGGCTGTGCGTGCTCCTTGCTTCCTCCGCTTTCTTCCGAGTGGTCGCGTGAACGGCTTCCTGCAGCCTGGCCATGGCGCTTCACGTTCCCAAGGCTCCGGGCTTTGCCCAGATGCTCAAGGAGGGAGCGAAAGTAAGGGCTGAAGGAAAGGAATGAGGTGGGAGAGTCAGCATAGGGCTGCGGCGGCCGCGGCGAAGTAGGAGGGCCTACTAACGCGCTGAGCGTGCTGCCCTGGCACAGCGGCCGGGGGAAGAGAAGATTCCAGAAAGGGAGGTGATCTTGGAAGGACTCGGCCTTCCAGGTGTCCCGGGGCCTGCAGGCACTTCTCTTCTTCCGCGACCGGGAGAAGGCTGAGGGGTCGGCGGCACGATCGACATTGTACACCTTGAAGGTGGACGGACGTGAAGCCGCGCGTGCGTTTTGCCTCCATCCATAAATGGGGCTAAGGCCCGTCACGCTTAAAAGGGGTTGTGAGGGTGAAATTGAATAACGTAGATGAAATTGTCTTGGGAACTGCGACGCCGATTGACACATAGCTCGCAAGTTATAGGATGGGGAAGAAGGAGAACTAGGCGATCCAGAGAAGAGAGTGTGGGAAAAAGGGCCGGGTCGTGGTTGCTTCCTTCCCAGTGAGAAACAGGGCTTTCAGCTTGGTTGACAGAAGCCATGCGTTGTAGCCAGATGAGTTCCAGTCCCAACTTATGTTAGCTGGCTTAATCTAAAACCTAACTCTCTTGGGTTTTGTTTTCTTGATCTTTAAATTATGGAGATTGGACCAAGAGGGTGGTGTCTTTGAGTTCTGACCGTGTAATCTGCAGGATAAGTGATACAGACGACACTTTTGTTTAATGGCCTTGTCTTGAACGTTATTTCAGTAGGATAGTTTTAAAAAATATCTTACTGCACTGTTGATAAATTTGTCTCTTGTGCTATTCAAATTGGGTTCCTCTGTATGTCCTCCAGATTTTGTTAATTCAAGAAATAGATCAGTGTGGTCGAATTTAAGGTTATGCGAGGTACAGGGAGCATTAACAGTTTAATAGAACTAGGTTCATGTTTGTAGAATGCACTTTTCAAATAATGTCATTATAGTAAGTAAATGTCAGGGTTTAATGTAAATGTTGGTGGCATCATCTTTTGAAAATAATATGGGCTGATTTCCTTAAAAAAATCAGGCTGAGATATTAGCTTCCAATTTGGGTTTTTTTCACTAATACAGTTTTGGAAAACTCGTGTATCACAAAACATTATTTGTATTTCCAATGCTAGTAGATTTTTACAGAACACTGAGCTATTTCATTCAGTAAATAGATACTGAAGGAACTGCAGTGAAAGACACAAGTCCCACTTCTCGTAGAGTTTATGTGCTTCTAAGGCAGATATAATGATTAAATAAAAGGAGAATTCCAAATAATGATGAAAGAAACTGTACTATAGTAGAGGATGACAGGAGGTTAAAATGTCTCTAAAAGAAGGATCAGGAATAGACAGAACACTTAGATATTTAGGGAAGAACTCTTAGCTCCGTGCTTAGTGAGAGAAGCCCCTGAGCCTGAGCTGTTTCCCCCCACCTCTTATTTAGGTGTACTTAACTAGTACAAAGACCCTGAGGAAGGAATGATTTGAACCTGTTTTTTTTTTTTTCTTCTTCTTCAAAAAAAAAACAAAAAACAGAAAACAGGTTATAGGACTGAAGCTTACCAAAGAAAAGAAAATGGTAAATTTAGAGGAGGAGCTATACAAGGATACACGGGCCAGGATATGTAGGGCCTTGTTTCCCTGAAGAGGGATTTGCATTTTATCCTAAGCGGGATGGGAAACTATTGAAGGGGTTTTTTTGTTGTTTGTGGGTTTTTTTGGTTTTTGTTTTTTTGAGACAAGGTTGCGTTCTGTCGCCCAGGCTGGGATGCAGTGGCGCGCTCTCCACCCTCCGCCTGCCGGGTTCACGCGATTCTCCTGCCTCAGCCTCCGGAGTAGCTGGGATTACAGGCGCACGCCCGGCTAATTTTTTGTGTATTTTTAGTAGAGACAAGGGTTCACTATGTTGGCCAGCCTGGTCTCAAACTCCTGACCTCGTGATCCGCTCGCCTAGGCCTCCCAAAGTGCTGGGATTACAGGCGTGAGCCACCGCGCCCGGCCTTGAAGGTCTTAAGTATGGGAATGATGGGATCTGATCAGATGGTAGTTTCTCACAGAATGGGGAGTGAGGGGAAGAAGGAAGAGTGGAAGCCAGGAGTTCAGACTTAAGTGTTATTGCTGGAATACAGTTCTTATTGCTGAAGATGCTTTTAGAGTAGTGGCTGTTGGCAGGGGTAAAATACAAAAAAACTTAGCCTCGTGTGGTGGCGCGCGCCTCTAGTCCCAGCTTCTCAGGAGGCTGAGCCTCCAGAATTGCTTGAACTGGGAGGCCCAGGTTGCAGTGAGCTGAGATCGTGCCACCGCACTCCAGCCTGAGCGATAGAGACTCTCTCTCTCTCAAAAAAATGTAACAGCTATTAACCTTGGTTTTGGATCACAAAATCATGGCTTGTATTGTAAAGCAGTACTGTGTAATAGAACTTTTTGCAGTGTTGGACATATGCTGTATCAGCCTGTCCAATGTGATATTCACAAGCCACATGTAGCTACTGGGCATTTGAACTGTGTGTGGCTCCTGCAATTGAGGAACTGAATTTTTAAATTTTAATTACTTGAAAATTTATTTTAATTGCTTTCACTAGCCCCATGTAGCTAGTGGCTACTGTATTGGGCAGCACAGCTCTAAAGAAATGTTCTCATGCACTGTAGATTAGTGAAATATATCTGAGGACCCAAGTAAACCTCAACTCTAAAAAATCTAGTGTGGAATTTGTGAGAGTTTTTAGTACTGTGAACAGTTCACTTTTTCAATACGTATACATTGGGATAATGTTGCAATTCAAAAAAAGTATTCAACAGTCTGTGTACTTCAGTCCCTAAACACTTCAGTGGCACATACTTAAAGAACTTCTGGCTTTACAAAAGCCCAGATTCTAACACAATGAGAAAAATATTCCACATTTCAACATTAGAAAATACCGATAAACTCTGGAAAGGTATTCGACTTGAAGTACCTCATTCCCATTCTCTAATTAGCCTTAGCATGGTTCCCTGTACTTTTCACTACTTTTAATAAAAAAATTATGAGTCTTACGATTTGATGTGTAAGTAGGTACCTGCAGTCCCCCAAAATGTTATACTTTTATTCATTCAGCTAGAGAGGAAATGTATGCATCATTTATGAATATCAAATGCTGTGTTTTACATAAATCTTGTTTGATTGTCTCAACAATCCTATGAGGTAGGTACTGTTATAATTACCTCATTTTATAATGAAGAAATATTAAGAAAATTGCCCAAATTAAAAAAGAGCCAGAAAGCTAAGATTTGTAACCAGCCCTCTTGTGCCGAATACCTCAGCTATGCTCCCTCTTTATTAGAAGCAAGATATAAGCGAAGATATCTTCTGTGTGAAAATTCTTGTTTCACTGTCCTGTCTAATTAGCGGGGTTTTTTGTTTGTTTTAACAGCACTTTTCAGGATTAGAAGAGGCTGTGTATAGAAATATACAAGCTTGCAAGGAGCTTGCCCAAACCACTCGTACAGCATATGGACCAAATGGTAATTTCTAAATTAATATTTGTAAAGATACAGTAGTAGAATTTTGTGTACTACCTCTTCTTTCAAACTTGTTCTGAGGATGTTATAGTATGGCTTTGGAAGTTAATTTGATAGCTCAATTAATAGTTCAAGTTTTTAGTTATTTCTAATTTTCAATCAACTCAGATCTCTAGAAAAATAGGGATCAATATATTACTTTTTATCCTGTTGAGAGGGTAGAAAAATTATAACACTTTGACTAGTAAGATAGTACCTAATGTTCATTGTGACAAACACTGAATATAAAAGTGACATAGTTTAAGGAAGAAAATTCCCTCCTCCTTCTTGCCTTCTACCGCCAATTAAATTTAATTGATACAGTTTCATGGAATAAACATACAACTAAATATACTAAATAGGTTATTTTGGCCTTTTTACATATTAATATCTGTTGAGCACTTGTTGCATGACAATCATGTTGCAAGAGAAGACAGAAATTGGCAAAAATGTGAGATTTGGCATGTTACGTAGTAAATATTGTAGGACATTAAAAAGGAAAGAAAGAATATGGGTCTGCGGTCAGAGAATGCCCATGGGGCTATAAGATAAACTTGAAGAATAGATAGTATGTGTTTTCTTACAAAGCTATTTTTTAAATATACAAATTTATATTTTTTTACTAGATTTTCGTGGGTATTTGGGTAAGGATTTGATTAATAATGGCTTTCTTTTTCTTTTTTTAACTGTTACTTTTGAGGAATGAACAAAATGGTTATCAACCACTTGGAGAAGTTGTTTGTGACAAATGATGCAGCGACTATTTTAAGAGAACTAGAAGTAAGTTGTTTCTTTAAAAGTCAAGAAATATTTTGGTGACATCAAAATTAAGTAGACTTTAACTAGAAGAAATCTCTTAGATTGGATAAGGGACTGTTTTTCCAACTTGAAAATTTATTATACAGGTTGTTCTAATTACAGAGAGTCCTCTTTAGATTGAACATTGTAACCACTGAAATCTTAAAAATTTCTTAAGTTATTAATTTGTGGAGGGATTGGTTGTGATACATTGCTAATTGGAATATGAAATAGATTACCATTATCTTCATTCGATAGAGTGACTCTGAAGTGAATTATTCCACAATGCAAAAACGTATACATAAAACAGTGGTTTTTAAAAAGATCCAACCACTTGGTTTTATGAAAATAAAAACGGTCAGTTTATGGCAATCTACTTTGTTCAGCTCCAGTTTTGCTATTAGAGTCTATAAAATAGATACTGCCTGCCAGCAGGGTTGTAAGGAAGATCTGGCACCTGAACAGGCAGAGAGAGCCATTCCTCATTCCCGCCTTGTAATTAAAGGATAACATATTCAGCCTCAGGGAATTTTCCTGCAGCTTAGCCCTTGAAAGCGCTAGAACTTAATCTTTTGTTTTAAATGAAACTATAGAAGAATCAGCATTTCTCTAACCTCTTAAAATATTTTTGGCTGGACGCGGTGGCTCACGCCTGTAATCCCACCACTTTGGGAGGTCGAGGCAGGCGGATCGCCTGAGGTCAGGGGTTCTAGACTAGCCTGGACAATATGGTGAAACCCCATCTCTATTAAAAATACAGAAAAAAAAATTAGCCGGGCGTGGTGGTGCACACCTGTAATTCCAGCTACTCAGGAGGCTGGGGCTGAAGAATCGCTTGAACCTGGGAGGCCAAGGTTGCAATGAGCCAAGATCACGCCACTGCACTCCAGTCTGGGCAACAGAGCAAGACTCCAACTTAAAAATATATATACATATATATGTGTATATATATGTATATATGTGTATATATATAATTTTTTTTAAGTTTAAAGTTAAATTTTAACTCCACAAAACACTTGTACAAGGATTTGTCATTGTGAATGTTAATGTTGCACACTGATGATCTCAGAAGTTAACATCAGGAGTTACTAAAGTATAGTGGTGATACTGTCAAAATAATAAAATCACAGGGCTGACTTTTATAGTTTACTCCCTGCTTTCAGTTCTTACTCCTTGGCTTGTTTCTGTAAAGGTATCTAAAATTAAATCTTAAGAATAAAATCCACGTAAAATTATGTTACATTTTAAGAAAACTTTTATACTCCCCCCTTTCTTTAAATCACAAATGATAGCCCTTAGAACAAGAATATATGGTAAAATAGATACTGAGACTCATGACCAAGTTAAGTGGTATCTATTTTAGTTCTCCTGAAGGATTTCAAAAAAATATTTAGGTTTGGTGGTTGTAATTACTTTGTTTTTTAATTTAGTGAGATATAATGATATGCTGAACCATATGTGTGGCACTGTATGTACAGGCCATCAAAAGAGGATGCACTTTGAAATTCTTATTTATAGTGATACATTTGTGCTGATTGGCATAAAGGGACTTGGATTTTTTCTTGTGACCACACTATAAGTAGCGTATAGCGGTGTGATCAAATGGAGTTACCTAATCTACAGGAAAATTGGAGTCTAAGAAATGGAAACGAACAATTTTATGTTGCTTTAAGAATCAGATGTTTAACTTGATATTACCTTTCCTACTAGGTACAGCATCCTGCTGCAAAAATGATTGTAATGGCTTCTCATATGCAAGAGCAAGAAGTTGGAGATGGCACAAACTTTGTTCTGGTATTTGCTGGAGCTCTCCTGGAATTAGCTGAAGAACTTCTGAGGATTGGCCTGTCAGTTTCAGAGGCAAGTGTTCATTTATAATTTACTCCTACTTAATTTTTGCTTACATGTACACCTGCTTAAAACATAAACTAAAATCATTATTATAGTAGTAGCTAACATGTACTGAGCAGTTTCTCTGTACCAGCAGCCGTTATAGTACATATGCTTCACATGCAGTATCATTTTAGTCTCACAAAAACCCTATTATTGAGGCCTTATAATCCCATTTTATCTATTTTTTCTTTTTTTTTTTTCCCACTTTATTTTTTTTTATTTTTTATTTTTTTTTATTTTTTTTGAGATGGAGTCTGGTTCTGTCACCCAAGCTGGAGTGCAGTGGCCGGATCTCAGCTCACTGCAAGCTTCGCCTCCCGGGTTTACGCCTTTCTCCTGCCTCAGCCTCCCGAGTAGCTGGGACTACAGGCGCCGGCCACTTCGCCCGGCTAGTTTTTTTGTATTTTTTAGTAGAGACGGGGTTTCACTGTGTTCGCCAGGATGGTCTCGATCTCCTGACCTCGTGATCCGCCCATCTCGGCCTCCCAAAGTGCTGGGATTACAGGCTTGAGCCACCGCGCCCGGCCTCCCACTTTATTTTAGATGAGAAAAGAGATTAAAATTAGAAAAATCTTGCCCAAGATCTCATAGCTAGTGAGTTAGGTAGAGTTAAGATTCAAATTTGGGCTGTCATCTAAGCCTCCATTCATAACTAGTAGAGTCTACTATATGTATTATTCCAAAGTATATTCTTTGTCATTTTATATCAAAAATAAACATCCATATGCATTTGGTTACCTAAGTAAGCTACTTTAAGTCATGTCAGAATAGGAAATGTTGTTGTTTATATTTCAGGTCATAGAAGGTTATGAAATAGCCTGCAGAAAAGCTCATGAGATTCTTCCTAATTTGATATGTTGTTCTGCAAAAAACCTTCGAGATGTTGATGAAGTCTCATCTCTACTTCGTACCTCCATAATGAGTAAACAATATGGTAATGAAATATTTCTGGCCAAGCTTATTGCTCAGGCATGCGGTAAGTAAATATCAGTAAATGAAAAGATCCAAAATAAAAATGTCTTTAACATGACTAGGTATTTTCTCTGTTGTCCCAAAATAATCTTTTGATATGTCTCATTTCTTAACAGTATCTATTTTTCCTGATTCCGGCCATTTCAATGTTGATAACATCAGAGTCTGTAAAATTCTGGTAAGTAGAAAATGCATTAATGCTACATATCTAGATCAGTTTTTTTGTGTTGTTTTTGTTTTTTGTGCAAAAAAAAAAAAAATTGTGTTCATCAAAACCTAAATGTTACTTCATGATTTTGGACACTTAGGACTTTTTTCGAGGCATTATTATCTTTTATTTATTTATTTTATTTTTTGAGATGGAGTCTTGCTCTTGTTGCCCAGACTAGAGTGTAATGGCGCGATCTCGGCTCACCACAACCTCTGCCTCTTGGTTCAAGCGATTCTCCAGTCTCAGCCTCCCAAGTAGCTGGGATTACAGGCATGCGCCACCACACCGGCTAATTTTGTATTTTTAGTAGAGACGGGGTTTCTCCATGTTGGCGAGGCTGGTCTCAAACTCCCAACCTCAGGTGATCCGCCCGCCTCGGCCTCCCAAAGTGCTGGGATTAACAGGCGTCAGCCACTGTGCCTGGCCTTCGAGGCATTATTTTATAACATTTTGATATTGCTAAGTTGTAATACTACTACTACCTATTTAAGTTTAAAAGGATATTGACATACTATCTCCTTATAAAGTCATTTTCTGTGATGTCTTGTGGGTTTAAGAACAATGTATAAACAAAATGCTAATTTTTTTTTTTTTTTTTGAGATAGTCTGGCTCTGTCGCCCAGGTTGGAGTGCAGTGCCACGACCTTGGCTCACTGCAACCTCCACCTCCCAGTTTCAAGCGAGTCTCCTGCCTCAACCTCCCGAGTAGCTGGGATTATAGGTGTGCGTCACCAAGCCCAGCTAATTTTTGTGTTTTTTAGTAGAGGCAGAGTTTTCGCCGTGTTGGCCTGGCTGGTCTCGAACTCCTGACCTCATGATCTGCCCACCTTGGCCTCCCAAAGTGCTGAGATTACGGGTGTGAGCCACCATGTCCAGCCCAAAATACTAATTTTTTTGTGTTCTTCATAATACTCTGAATTATAATAAGCTTAGAAGACCATTTTGAGTGGGGTGGAAATTGCCCTATCCCTCTTCAATGATAGAATTCACACTTTAATGTTAGTATTGAAATATTAAAGTTTATTTTTTATAAAATGTGCTTGATCGAGTAAAACCTATCAGTGGAGTGGTTTTGGTTTTGCACATTTGGCATTCTGATTGTTAATGTGAATTTAGCTTAACATAAGTACATGTGCTTTCCCTGAAGATCCTCATGTGTTCTATGTTTGCTGTCTCCCTCCACGTACTGCCAGCTTTCCCCATTAAATTGTAACCTTCTGAGGACAGAATCTTTGCCTTGTTCTGTGTTGTATTCGCAGTACTGACAGCTGTGGCTAGTATATTGGCACCAAGTACTAGGTAACTGAATGGCTAAGAGCAGTTCTCTGCCTTTGGTTCTTCCCAGTACGCTGAAGGACCTCTCCTCTCTAACAGTAGCTCATTCCCTCAGTGATTTCTGACTAGAGCAGAAGGGCGTGCTTTATGTCCAGCACCCCACCCCTTATCCCAGGAGTCACTGTCTTGGTTTATGACTTTATTTTAGAAAGGGAGATTTTTGGTATATGGAGAATCAACAGTTTGACCGTAATGTTATTTTCATGAGATCGCTGATGGTTTTGGTATTCAATTCCTTAGGGCTCTGGTATCAGTTCCTCTTCAGTATTGCATGGCATGGTTTTTAAGAAGGAAACCGAAGGTGATGTAACATCTGTCAAAGATGCAAAAATAGCAGTGTACTCTTGTCCTTTTGATGGCACGATAACAGAAACTAAGGTATGTAGACTTCAAACCTTAAAAGTAATAACTGGGGTTGCACTTTCATATTGTTTAAGTTAGCTCTTAAACCAGTAAGTACTTCTTAAAAAACTGAACATTGCAGGATCTTACCTATTTTTTTATGCCAGATTTATGTTCTTTGAATATCTAATTCAACTACTGAACATTAAACTTGAAATATAAAGATGGTGGCCATATTATTTATAATCTGACACACAGTCCTTCTAGTACAGCTTATAAATTCAGCAAGTGAAAGAATATGAGAATGCGAGTACTTTGTGTGCTCTTCACAAAAATAAAGTTGACATTCTGTAGCATCCTGAAACAAGATAAGCTAATGTAATTTGAAAATAGTAGGTATGTTTCTAAAAATACATGTTAGAAAGTTTGAAGTTTGTATTTACAGTCAATAGTGACTGACTTCATCTCTAGAATTCTTGAAATCCAAGTTGTTGACAGTTTTAAAAGGTGGGCACATGCCTGTAATTCCCATCCTACTCAGGAGGCTGATGGAAGGAAATTGCTTTTTGAACCCGGGAAGTTGAAGGTTTGCAGTGGAAGCCGTGATTGTGCCACTTCATCTCCAAGCCTGTGTTGACTAGAGCGGAACACTCCATCTCACAAAAAAAAAAAAAAAAAAGGGCGTGTCCTCGCTTGATTCTTTCCGAGTGGTCGTCTTTTTTTGCGTGTGAACGGCTTCCTGCAGCCTGGCCATGAGCGCTTCACGTTCCCAAGCCCCGCTCTCCGTGTTTCCCAGGCTGTTGGCCAGATGCTTCAAGGGAGGGAGCGAAACACTTATTTCAGGATTAGAAAGAGGCTGTGTATAGAAATATACAAGCTCTGCAAGGAGCTTGCCCAAACACTCGTCACAGCATATGCGACCAATGGAATGGAACAAAATGGTTATCAACACTTGAGAGAAGTTTGTTGTGACAAATGGACGTGCAGCGACTATTTTTTAAGAGGAACTTATGAAGTACAGCATCCGCCCTGCAAAAATGATTGTAATTGCTTCTCATATGCGAAGAGCCAAGAAGTTGGATATGGCACAAACTTTGTTCTGGTATTTGCTGGAGCTCTCCTGGAATTAGCTGAAGAACTTCTGGAGGATTGGCCTGTCAGTTTCAGAGGCAGTCATAGAAGGTTATGAAATTAGCCTTGCAGGAAAAGCTCATGAGATTCTTCCTAATTTGCGCTATTGTTGTTCTTTTTTTGCAAAAAAACCTTCCGAGATGTTGAATGAAGTCATTCTCTAACTCAGTACCTCCAATAGATGAGCGTAAACAATGATGCGGTAATGAAATATTCTGGGCCAAGCTTATTGCCTCAGGCATGGTATCTATTTTTCCTGATCCGGCCATTTCAGATGTTGATAACATCAGAGTGCTGTAAAATTTCTGGGCTCTGGTATCAGTTCTCTTCAGTATTGCATGGCATGGTTTTAAG